GTTTTTTATTCACTGCAGGGCCATGAAGCTCCGGACTAATAACGTCTATAGAACTTAGATACTTACAAAGCTCTGCAAGGAAGAAACAATGTGAGTGCAATTAGATTTAGTTAAAAGTGATAAGAGGATGCATTTTAGTGGATGATGTGGATTGGACACTAGTACCAGCAGCAATACAACAAAAGATACATCAAATTACGTCAGAAGACTGTTGCCTGTGTGGATTATCCACAGCAAACTAAAGAATTTCATCATAAAATATAACAGTAATCATTCGAAAAGAATTACAAATGCAAACGGTAACTTCACTGAGTTTGATCAATGTTATCCAGTAATCTGTTTAGATCAGACTCAATTTTACCTGACTATCTAATCAGTGAGCTCAACTCTTCTATATACGGCTCCCAAAATCAGAAAATCTAATAGCCCTCAGGCCATTAAATTTGGATTTCCCATAGGATGACTCAGAGACATGAAAAATACTTTTTTAACACATAAAGACAGATAGAACCATATGATCAACGTTCCATACATGATAGCACTTTATATGTAGTTCTGCACACATACTGCTTAACTTGATTAACTTTATTTTTTATTTTGTTCAAACTTCAAAGCAATACAATTGAGAAAAATCCCCCCTATATATTAATTCAGAATGTGTTTGAGCCTAAGTGGGAAGCTCGCATGCTTCGGGATCCTAAGTGGCAAAATTACATGCTTCGTTATTAGTCTTTGTAGATTTTAATTTACTTCCAAACCAAAAATAATTAGGTCAGGATTATCCATAAATATGTTGATTATTTATGGTCATGTTACATGTATTAATTGTATTTTTATATCATTTCTTATTATAACCGTTGTAGTAAATGTATTTTAAAAGTTAATAACTTTTGTATTTTTTATCAGTTTTATACATATAATATATCAAATTAATCAAGAGAATCTCTTGATGATCTTCAATTTAACATCCATATTGTATATTTATATATATAAAATAAATTATATTTATCTTTATAACAATAATAAAATTGTTTTTTAACAATAATTAGAAAAATAAAATTATTTATCAATAAATATATTTATATTTCAAGTATATTTATATTTCAAGTAGTTATATAATATAAGTTCCAAAAATTACTATAATATAACACATGTAAGTCGCACAAGTAACAAGTGTTATTCGAAAATATATAATAATATATATTTTTTGTTAAAAAGTAAATAAAATTTAAAACAAAATATCTCAGTAATTTTAAAATTTAAGAATAATTTTTAACAAGTACCCGTGTAATACACGAGTGTTGTACTAGTTTAATTTTAAAAATAAATGTAAAACAACAATTGACATGAAAAATACAGGTCTCAACTGAATTAAATTAGAAACCTGCATGTGCAGCATAATGACTGGTCCTTATTGGCTTTTTGCATAAGTTGCAGCACACCTACAAGAGAAATAAACATATACTCACTACTCTGGAATAAGAAATTCCTACACACATTCGTTGATGTTAGTTTTATTCAAAGGAAGATAGCCAGTTTAGTACAAATATGGCATGAGGTAATATTATGTCGTAACAAGTATATCATCATAGACTACATAGATCAATCATTGACTTAGTGACAACCCTATCTTCATTACCCTATTCTATGAACCTCAAGAATCATGACCTGAAAGTCTGAAACTTATACTGATAGGCTGTCAACTATTAACCATGCCTAACAGTTGCTTTCAGGATAACTTTAAGCCCTTTGTTTCGCCTCGGCAAATAATGAAGCACAATAAAGCAGACTAAAGGCACCGGCTATACCAAACAAAAGGTTTCACCTGTCTTGTTCTACATGTTGGTATTCAGTATCAGACTAAACACCCTTTTATTCCACAAAGTGTTTCGGTGTTTCTTATCATGAACTTGTATTAGTTTAAACCAAATGTTGAGCATTGGATGATTCCCAAACAACTTTCAACTTTTGGACCCTCATTATAAGCCAATATATTAGCTTCTCAATTCCGAGCCATGATTCAGAGAAAAATAACTCAACCTCTACAGGTTTTCACGTTAGTGATACTTTTTTTTTTTTTTTATGCGTTGAAACTAAAATGGGTCACTGTGGAAGACGTTACACAGTTTTTTGTGTATCATGTTCAATATGTTAGCGGTAGGAACTAAACAAAGAAACATAAGTGAGGTAAAATACTCCTATACAATAACGAATACAAGATTTAACACATTAACACTATGAAAAGTAAAGCTTCAAAATAAAAAGCATACTGAGCAAGTTTCAAAACCTTACCAAATCCAAAAAATCTGTCATTGGCCTCAAACCAAAAATATGCATATCTACAAAATCAAAATGAAGTCAAGAACTCTGAATCCCAAGTTACGTCCAAAATAGCCTGTGACGATATATACTGTGTCACACAGTTATAGAGGAAAGTAAAATATAGATGATGCCCTTGCATGACCTAATATAATTCAGACTGTTTGTTTAAGATTTAGAGAAAATATTGACATCTAACAAAATCCTGAAATATGTACACATCAGATAACGGTTTTAAACTTTAGCTATGGTTGGTGCTCTTTCATCTTTCCAAAATTAACTCAAACAGAACTGCAATTTCAATAAATCATAACTCCTATTTTGTTTATGATTACCAATAGCTATAACAAATGCAGTCAAAATGGTCATCTCAAATAGAATTGAAAAGTGAACCCCTTTCTAGTATCTTAGCTTCTAATTTCTTTCCATTATATGATGAACACTAGCAAAGGAAAGAAGCACACATGATTAACTTATTTAAACGACATTTTAATATCAGCAATTTCTACACCTAAAGTCATTTTTCCAAAACATGACATTGTACAAGTCCATGTCGGACTTCCAGTTCACTTGCAAATATCAAAATCAAAATAAGGACTACCTTCTTCATCAAGCAAATTTGCTTCATCAGCCTCCTGAATTTCTCGCCTTATGTATGTTGCAGTTAACTTTTTGGAGCCTATTTCCTCTGAGGGTAGATTAAGAGCAAAAGAGCTAGATTTAGAGACGGATTGATATTGCACACAATGTGAAGTTGTCATATGTGCAGTCCAACTTTTTTTCATTTCACATCATGCGCAATTGAGACATGATACCTCTACTGACAGTTGGCTCACCTCACAGATTAGAATTAGAAACTTATATGAACGTTACTACAAATTACAAGCGAATTAATCAATATACAATGTATGTCTCTCACGAATTAACCTTCAATATATGATGTAATCATGCCTCATTCACAACAACAACAACAAAAATATATATATATATATATAAAAGAAAAAAAAAATCTTAAGCTAGGCCACACCTTTACCCATTACACTCTGCGAGTGTGAGACAGTTCCAGCATCCAGAAGCCTGGGCAAGGCTGTCATTTTCCCACTTCCGATAGAGCATACCATCAAAAATCGAAATCAGTACCTCCAAACTCCTAGCATATGTGGAAAAAGAAGTCAGAAAGTACACCGTTATACACACACACACCCTTAAAACACCAATAAGATCATTTAAAAGCCAACACCAGAAGTTATATGAAATTACTCGCAACGTCATTTTACTGAGAATTGATGATTGGTCAATGCTTACTGGTCCTCAAAGTGAAATGTAATGAAATGAGTGAATTTTTTTCTAGACACAATTGGATATCAAATGTCTAGTCGATTCCGAAGGTATTTCTCTGATTACCTATAAGGGACATCCAGAATAATCAATTACTTCGCTCTACGGAAATATTTTCTAGACAAAAAAACAGACAAGTAACGGAGTATGATAACCAATTCTCTGCCTTTCATTTAACAGAAATATTTTAACTGATTTAACTTTCTCTACTATTTACAAGAAAAAAAAA